TTGGTAAAATATGGTTTTTAAAAACGTCACATAGTGAAGTTCTTTTGGGAGTCCTCAATTTTTAAGAGTATAAGGGGTCATGCAACCAAAATTTTTAAGAACTACTATTCACCATGATTTGACAGAACACATACTATCTTTTTGCTGTGACTCTAAACACTTGGCATATTCAACAAAGACCTATCACCTTAAATTCCAACCTGGCTATATAATCCAATCTGGCTTTGCATCTAAGACTGTCTAATGACTTTGTATATAAATACTACTGCAAATAATAATGATTTCTTTACTTTGGTATTTTTCTGTAGTAACCATATTTATTTTGATACATGAATCTGACAGACATAATACTTTTTTTTTGTATGAGGGGAGGAAATAAAATTCTACTATGCCAATTTAATAGATAAAGAAACTGAATACTCAAAAACATTAAGTGACATGTCCAGAGGCACTCAACTAGGAGGCATTAGAGCCTGGACTCAAACCAGGATCTTCTTTCTCAATATTCTTTTCATTACACCAGACTGACTTGCTTTTACAATGTATAAAGGGCTTTCCCCAAAGCAACCTATAAAGTATGTCTTGAAAGTATTATTACTCTCATTTTTAAGTTGAAAAGACTGAGATTCAGAGAAGATATGACTTACCCATAGTCACATGGTAGCGCCAGAATTCAAATTCATATCTTCTAATTCCAAATCAAAAGTTCTTTCCAATATATTACACAGCCTCATCAAGAAATGCAAAATCTGACTTCTATACCACATATGCTTTAAAAATAACTTACTATAACAGAAATTGCTTTTCAATGAATTCCTTAATACCTTAGTTATTTTAGAAATTCTCACAGAGGTAAAAGTATCAGTGACATGCAAATATTCTGTCATGGATATTTCTATGTAGGCATCTGCTATAGTTAGCCACAGTCAATCTCTGAGCCATCGTCTGTCCCAGTGTTTTGGAAGATCATAAAACTCAGGAGTTTTTGTTTCTGTTTTTTAAATCAAAAGCCTGTCGTTGGTTTCACATCAAGGCAGATATTTTTAAAAATTTTTACACTGAATAAGTGGAAAAGATATTTGTTTCCTACTTGGCATGATTCTTCTTGTTGTAGGGAAATGACAAATGCCCAGGTAGGTGAAGCAGATAAGAATGGCATGTGGCCCTACAGTTCAATAAGATGTAGGGAAGAGACTGAAGTCACTGCCAATGCTATGAATCCAACAAAGTAGGATATCTGACTGACAAGCAATCCCATCATATCCCATTTTCCACCAAAATTGAAAAATATCTAAAGCAGAACATCTTTTCTTTCCCTCCCCCAGATCTGTTCCTCCTCATTGATCTCCCTGTTTCTGTTAATGGTACAATAAGTCCCCCAGTTAACCACGCATAAATTTTTGGTATCCTCTTTGATTTCTCTTCATCACAACCTATATTTAAATAGCTCCAAGTTCCATGAATTCTACTTCTCCAGTATCTCCAATATCCACCCCATCTCTTTTCCATTTTTATTGCTACCACTATAGACCTCACTGTCTCTCCCCTCAACTTAATAACAGCCTCCAAGGTAGTCTTCCTCTCACTAACTCCTGTTCAGGATTATCTACTCCCTTTCAGTATGTCTTTTACAGTAGTGCTATACTTATCTTCCTGATTCAGAGATGTGGCTATAGGAACATAGATTTAGAGCTGAAAGGGTCATTAGAGGCGATCTACACCAATGCATTCATTTTATATAAGATGAACTGAGGCCTAGAGGCTGACTGACTTGTCCAAGGTTATCCAGGCAGTGACACAGCCAGATTTGTACCAGATCGCCTTCATACCAAGCTGCTATATTATTCTATTGATCAAAACTCTCCAATGTTTCCATATTGACTATCAAAAAAGCCCTGGACTCCTTGACACAGCACTCAAAGCCATAATTTGATACCAATTTACCCTTGCAGTCTTGTCCCATGCTAACTTACTTAATATATGTCTGAATTTCAGGCTTTAATCATCAGTTAAGCCTCTATTCAAATGACACTTTTTTCCATGAAGCTTACTTTGATTCATCCCAATGTGAAATGATCTTTCCTTCTTCAGAACTTGGAAGATATTATGTATCTCTAATACGTACTTGTCATACGTCCAACTTCATGACCACATTTAGGTTTTTTTTTTCTGCAAAGATACTGGAATGGTTTATCATTTCCTTGTCCAGCTTATTTTACAGATGAGGAACTGAGGCAAACAGGGTTAAGTGACTTGTCAAGAGTCACACAGCTAGTGAAGTGTCTGAGGTCACATTTGAACTCAGGAAGATGAGTCTTCCTGACTTCATGTCAGGCACTCCATCACTGTGCCACCTAGCTGCCCGTGTCACAGATACTTCACTATAAGATTGAGAGGTCCTTGAAGGAAGAGACTGAAGGCTTATTTAAAATATATGTGCCTCTAGCACTTAGCATAGTATTTTTTCACACAGTGATACTTGATACATTTCGGGGGAATGAATTTTGAATGAATATGCATGGGTATTATATACATCGAATACTTTCACTGTCTTTTATAATAGAAGACAATGGAGGAGGTATGTCATCAGTGAAAGATATTACTCTGGCAAGTAAGTTAACAGAAATAGAAGGTAACAGGTCACAATTTGCTATAAATTTTAAAATGTCCAGAGCTTTAGTGAAATGTTTCAGCAAAGACAAAGGTATGAATGTGAAATGACAGCAAAATACAGTAACGTTATGTTGGTCATGTCACTGCATAATATTTCCAAGAAAGTAAAACTGAATATTGATCCAATGAGAAGAAGAGGCCGCTCTGAGATGACACTCCCAAATCAGGAAGTTGGAAGGCCTAGAGGATATTAAGTTTAATGCAATCTAAAAATCTCAGTTTGGAACTCTCTCTGTCCTGGAGCCAATTTTCTTTGTGAAGCAGAGAAACTCAGGAATTTATCATGTCTAGTAAGGGAAATAGCCCTCCAAAGATTTATTAGATTTAAGCAAACTTCTTTGTCCATGAAAGGGAATGTTAGAGAATCTTCATTCTTGACATGAGGGGGAAATTTTTTTTTGAAATGACAAGGCAAAGGACGTTCTTGAAATTCAGTGTTATAAGAAATACTCAGATTACCTTAGTTCCTAGGATCTAACCAACATAAGATCTTTGTTTTGAACACACAGAAATGTGAAGGAATTTTAGATGTTTAAAAAATAACAAAATTTAATCCCCACACTTTTCATCCTCGTCATAATTACAACAGTGATATATCATCTTCCACTAAGGTTCTATTCCAATGTTTGCTGTAGAATGGGGCAAGCCTGGTTAGTCCTATATCAAACTGGAAAGTCTTGGAACAATATTATTAATAACAATAACAACAACAGTGGGGAATTGCATCATTCTTTAAAGGTTTGCAAGTGCTTTAATCTGTACTAGTGGTTCCCAAAGTTTTTCTTCCACAAATCTCATTCAACAACATAAAAAATGTGCTGTGAATTCCCAGGGTAATTTAGTATTATTGGTCAGTTGTTTTTCACTTGTGTCTAATTCTTCATGACTCCTTTTGCAGTTTTCTTGGCAAAGATACTGGCATAGTTTGCTATTTCCTTTTCCAGCTCATTTTACAAATGAGGAACTGAGACAAACAGGGTTTAGTGACTTGCCCAGTGTCACATAGTTAGTAAATATCTGAGGCTGGATTTGAACTTAGGAAAATGAGCCCTTCTGATTCCAGACCCAGCACTCTATCTACTGTGCTGTCAACTGCCCATAATTTATTATACTACTCAATATACTCTTTATAAGTATTTACTGCTCAAGGCATCATTGAAGAAGAAAGGAATCAACTCACCCATCTATACAATATCATTTGTTTGGAGGTGCAGTGATATGGACTGTATATCTACTCCTTGAGGGGAAGTTCAGAAAGGCTCAAAACAGGACAGATAGTCTTAAAGAGAAACATTTTTAGTCATCATAAGTCATGAAAAATCATGAAGGTAGGGAGCAGGGTAGTTATCTGTATTGATGGAAAAGAGAGCTCCTACTGATGGAATTGTTAACCTTCAAATATTCAAGTACAGATTCAAAATAAAACCTAATAGATAGGTGTGTCCAATTAAACTTTGGTTTTCACTTTATATAAAATAAAACTTCTAACCATGGCTTTTCTTCTAATTATCACTTCAAAAGCAGCACACTTCACCTCAATCTTTTTTAAAGAAGCCAAATTTCTCACACCATAGAATATTCAGAGAATTTTAAAACTTGGGACCAGTGAGCATAATATAAGAGATTCAAGGGGAAAAATACAGCAATTCTCATGGGATTATAAATAGCTTATTAAACTATGAAATCTAAAAATCAATAAACGCATTGGACAGAAATGCTGGCCCACTTAATTTAGCTCACAAGTCAAGTTAGGTGCTCATGGGGAATGGTTTGTGCACAAATGAAAGTAGATTCTTAATTCTTCATTGTTCCCCATAGGTGATGCAGTGGATAGGGCACTGGGCCTGGACTCAGGATTACCTGAGTCTAAATGTAGCCTCAGACAATTATTAATGTGTGGGCAAGTCACTAACCACTGTCAGCTTCACTTTCCTCAAGTGTAAAATGGGGATAATAGTAACACCTTCCTCAAGAGTTATGAGGGTCAAATGAGATATCTTTTTCTTAATTGCACAGTATAGTAGCTATCACTTAATAAATGCTTTTTTCCTTCCTTGCCTTCCCTTTTTCATATACCATGGATTGTTCATGCTTACTCATACATTGCTATGGAGACTCACATTTCTATCAATCAGCATTGATTTAACATGCAGGTTCTTTACCAATGATAATTTTCCTTCCATCCTTACTTCAAGTTTCAGTCTCTTATATGTCTCTGAAAACTAACCCTCTCTAGCCAATAATTTTTGAGAGAAGAAAACCACACAGAGGTAAATAACTGCAGTTTACTCACATTTGTTTTAAATCCTGAAAAAAAAAAATCTTACCTGTTGAACACCATCTGAACACTTTTTCTGTGTTTCCAAAATGGTAGCTTGAAACTCTAGGTTAGAAAGGATAAAAAAGATTAAGTATATCTTGAAGAAAGAAATAATCATAACATGTGTGACATGGGTAATAAGTATAGCTTCTTTTTAATAGATTTCATTGATGTATTTTGTTTTTATATCACCTATTATACTCTTGAATCTCTCCCTACTTTGAGATCCACATCCATATGACAAAAAATTTTTTTTAAAACTGGAAGAAAACCAAAAAAAAAAAAATCAGCAAAACCAATCATTGTAGCAAAAAAAATATTAAAAGTTATATGCAATATTTCAAACCAATGGACACAATCTCTGCAAAGGAGTTGGGGGTATATATGTCTTTATTATATCTTGTTTTAGAGACAAAATTTGATCATTATAATTTTGTAGCATTCAGATTCAATTGGTTTGTTATTGTTCTTGCATTTATATTGTTGCAGTCATTTTCATTGTTTCCCTGCCTCTGCTTACTTCATTTTGCATCAGTTCATATAAGTCTTCCAATATTTTTCTGTAATATTATGCCTAATAGCATAGTGATATTCCATTGTATTTATTTAACACAATTGATTTAGTCATTCCACAATTAATCGGCATCTACTTTGTTTCTAATCCTTTGGTGACACACAAAGTACAATCATAAATATGTTACTGTCTATGTAACCTTCCTTTTAGTAATTAACTGGGGTATGTGACTAGCAGTTAAATTTCTGATTCAAAAGGAATGAGCATGTTAATCATTTCATTTGTCTAATTTTAAATTGCTTTCCAGAATGATTGTACTAATTCATAGCTCCATCGATATAGCATTAGTGTACCTACATTTTCATAACACCTCCAATGTTAACTATTCTCGTCTTTTGTCATCTTTGCCAATTTGCTAGATATAAAGTATAACCTCAGAGTTATTTTGGTTTGTTTTTCTCTTATTAGTTACTTGAAGTATTGTGTGTATGCATACACACATGTGTGCATGTATATACACACATAAATATATAAGCAGTTTACAATTTTTATAATTGGAATGCATATACACGTATATATGTGTATGTGCACATATATATGTATATGTACATATATATGCTTATGTGTGTGTGTGTTTTAGTGGTTTGTAATTATTTTGACAACCAAATGCATTAAAATTATGTCCAGGGTATTTTAATCATAGAGTTTAAGTATATGGATTTTTTTTTACAATATATGAAAAAATAATCTTTGCTTTGTAACATTGGTACGCTAACCAAGAGTTTAGTTATCAAAAACTAAAAAGAATCAGATACCCTTCCTTATATGTTAGGCAAGGATATATGAGTCAACCTATACCATTTGTTGCCTAACAAAAATATAAACAAAAAAAAAAACCTACTTCATCACAGACCTAGGAAAATTCTGTTTATCTACAGTATGTCTTAAAAGATATTCCCAAAATGCCATCAAATTAAATGGTCCTGTACTATCACCAGTTAAAGCATATCACAAAGTAGATTGTAGGCGGATTAATTTTTCACCCACAGCAACTCTCAAAGATTATCTAGTAAGTTTGAGGGTTGATAACCTGCCTCAGGGAGTACTCAAATAGACAGAATCAAATGTCCCTGAAGTATTCACTTGCAGCATAAACAACCAACCTCTTTTTCCAGGTGAGAGTTTTATAAATTTGACTAAGGGGGTCAAGAGGTTCTTAAAGCCATTTGCTTCTTCAGGACCTGTTCACTTAGGATTCACAGGAGTCACAAAATGGTAGATTATCTAATACAGCTCCCTCATTTGAAAAATAAGAAATCTGAGAATCCAAGAGATTCAAGGGTATAAGGGTATAAAATTAGTCAGTTACCTATCCGGACTAAAACCTAGATCTCCAATTTATTCTGTACATATCTTGTTTCTACATAGTTGTTTGCATGTCATCTCCCCTATTACACTGTGAGCTCTTTGAGAGCAGGAACTGTCTTTTTTTTTATATCACCAGTGCTTAGTAGGTGATTAATAAATGCTTATTGATTGATCTCTTGACTCTACTACTCCAATGCACCTTTAGTTGAAATTTAGAATAGACAGTACCCTCAAGTCTCCTTTATATAGGCTAACTAGCTTCTGAATTTATTGCCAAGCATATTTTTAATCATTCTAATTCAAAGCAAAGAGACCTCTATGACACATTTTTTTTTAAAGATTTAATGGGCTGTCTCACTCACAATCTTCTTTTGGGGGCAGGGAGATGGCTTTCATTTCTGGGAACTGGTTTTTGCCATAAATAGAATGCAAGTAGTTTGAAGGCAAGGCAAGGACTATCTCATGATTATACTTTTGTTCTAGTAGCTAGCACATGATTGACATTTATCAAATGTTTACTGATTAAGTGGTTAACTATAGGAGACAAAGAAAGAAGATGAGGAATTTAATCAGAATATTTATAAATATTACAATCTCTTTACTTTTCCTAGGACCCGCCAATAAATATATACCTTTTGAAACTTAAAACTCCATTGTTCCAATGGAGAACAGCCTAAACTGGAAAGATAAAAACTTAACATAGGAGACATCTTAGTGGTCATAAGAAAAGAGACAGACAATGCCATTAAGAACATCTTTTGATGATTTTCCCTGGTGAACAGACACTATTAATAAAAATTGGATTTTCTTTCATTTTATGATTGCTAAGCTCAGAAGTAGGGATTACCATTATTATTGAAACCTGATTTTTAATAAAGTCCTTTAACATCAAAGCTAAACTATAGTCAATATTTGATGGCAAATCTGGGTCCCAATAATATTTATTAGTTTTTATATACATACAGTACATTCCAGATTTATTTTGATAATGTCGGATCTGGTAGCCTTCCAGGAAAAGTAAAAGTCTGAACTTTCATGGCAAGTAAGATGCATGTCACAATTAATGATCAACAGGCTGAATTATAAAAATGTACAGGTCAATACACTGATCTTTAACACCCACCATTAGTTTTCTAGAGCTTAAATGGCTTATGTTAAAGGTTCATTATTTTCTCTCAACCAGAATTCACTGAAATCAGTTTTCGTCCCAAGCCTTTTCATTTTAAAAAAACACCTCATTAAAAACCAAACAACACTGGGTGTGATTTTGTTATGAGCAAAGGGCAAAATGAGGTTCTTCCTCAGAATAAAATGTTTTTGAGGAAGGCATAAGTATCCTGGCTTTAAAGTTAAACTTTTGAGAAAGATCAATGAGAGAGATGGAAGATGGGACTTAAAAAAGAATGGAAATGCAGAGGAAAGGGTTAAAAAGAAAGAAGGAATTTTTTATATGGTCATAGGATATAAACAAATAGTATTCAAAAGAAATTCAAACTAATAACAACCATATGAAAGATTGTTTTAAATCATTAGTAATAAGAGGAATGCAAATTAAAATAACTGTTTTATTTCACACTCAAATTGACAAGATAAAAAAAGACAAAAAATAGAAATAGTCCATTTTGGAGGCTCTTTGGAAAGGCAGGCATACATGCCAGTGAAAAATGTGAATTGGAACAACCATTATAAAATATAATTTGGAATTATGCAAAAAAAGTGACTGAAATTTCCACTCTTTGTTCCAGAGAGACTTCTGCTAGGATTCTATCCCAATATGGTTAAAGATAGAGAATTCTGTAAGTGTATCAAAATATTCATAGCACCAGTTTTTATGAGTGGAGAACTAGAAACAGACTATGTAAAGACATGTTGGTACATGCATGTAATGGAATATTGCTGCAACACATGGAATGATGAATTTGAAGAATTCAGAAAAACATAGGAAAACAGATTGATGCAGTGAAATAAGCAGAACTGGGAAAATAATATATGCTATGACTACACCAATGTAAATGAAAAGAACAAGACTACAAATCTCAGTGCTGTCTAACTATCAAGACCACGTTCAGTCCTGAAGAAGAATTAAGAGATATCTCCCTTTTCATGGCAAAGGTAGAGGGAGCTTAGGCAGTAGCATGTTCCATATGCAGTCATACAAGGCTGATATGGGTTGGTTTGTCTTACTGAACTGCCTTTCCTACCCCCTACATTTAAAAACAACAACACCAATAACAGCAACTTTGTTATAGGGAAATTCTTACATCTTATGAAATATGAATTTTATGTAAAAAGGGCTTCCATAAAAGCATATTTAATCAAGCAATGAAAGTAAACCTGAATAAGTATTTAAAAAGAAAAAAAGAAAGGAAGAATGTCAATAGGAAGTGAACTGAAAATAAGAATTTGTGAGAAAACAGGAGAAAATGAGGGGAGAAAGGTAAGAGTAAAAAAGAATGAAACTAGAAGAGGGAGAAAAGTAAGAAAGAGAAAAAAGAGAGGGAGAGGGATTGAAAGAAAAGAAAATGATGAGAAAAGATGAGGACGGAGGAGAGAAAAGGAGGAAATAAAGGGGGAAAGAGAACACAGGGGATGAAGAGGTGGAGGAAAGGAGGAACAGAGGAGGGAAAAAAGAGGAGAAAGAAGTTAACAGAAGGGAAGAGGAGATAAGTTTGGGTTGGGAAGAATAAGAGGGAAGAAGACAGACAAGAAATTTAATAGAAGAAAATAAACAAAAGGAATGGAACTGTCCATTGGTGACTTCTTTACAAAAGGATGTGATAACTCAGGGCTACAGTACTTTGGCCAAAGTTTCTTGCACTATCTCCTTAGCTAAGTATTCCCAGATCACCATAGCTAGATGTCATTCCTCCTCTTTTTGAATACTTATTTCCACCCTATTTGTTTCACATACCACCTATTTATAACATATTTGCTGGCTCATAGTATCTTTACATACAAGTCCTTCATATCTTCATGGTTGCTTCTTAAGAGCAGAGATCTTGTCTCATTCTTTGTAATGTTAAATTTATTTGTATTCTCCATACCACCTTGCATGTAATACTTTATAATTGTACTGAATTGCTGAAGAATGACCCTTTTGTGGTCACCATTATTGTGTTTTTTAAGAGTGACCTACAGGGACAGAATTATTTTTCAGTTATTTCTAGTTGGAATTTAGTCCAAGAAGAAGAAAAAGTTGGGAGATAGAATCAAGGGAGTAGAAAATGGGGAACAGTAAATAAGAATAAGCATAGGTAAGATGGAAACTGGAAAACAAAAGGTAAAGAAAAATAGATGGAATTTTTTTTCTTTTAAAAAAGTTTCTCCAGCTTCATCAGTACTAAGTATTGAAAGCCAGTCACAGTCTCATTTCATCCTTTCTAGGAATAGTATACATTGCTTTCCTCCACGTACTCTAGAGTCTAGCCAAATCGGTCATCTCACTTTCCTCACCCAAGACAGCCCATATCCCATTTCCATACCATAGGTACATATGCTCCTACCATACTTAGAATGCATTCCCACCTCGCCTCTACCTTTAAAAATACTTAATTGCTTTCAAAACTTAGCTCAAGTGCTTACTTCTACAGGAGGCTTTTCCTGATATGTCTCCCCAGCCAGCTGCTAGTGCCTCTCCTTCTCCCCTCCAAAACCCTCATATTTATTTACAATATATTTTATATATACTCATATGTGTATATGAATTTTTTCACAACAGAATTTGAGCTCTTTGAGGGTGCTTCTTCATTTTTTTTTCTTTGTATTCCCAGCACCACTATAATGTGGAATAATGGAAGTGAAACAAATACTTGTTGAATGATTGATTATCCATTACCAAAAGCCTGTGTAAACAACACGAGGAAGAAGTTTGAAATAACTGAGGCACACTTATGTAGATAAAACCAATTGTATCATAAGAATAGAAGCCTCTTTTTAGCTAACTTTTTTTTTTCTGTCAGTAAAATCCTTTAGAGAGAGGTCCCAAACTTCGACTTTGACTCAGCTGATTTAATTTCATAGGATTCATGGTAGATTCCATGTCAAAACTGTTTCCTTGGGAGAGTTGGAAAAGAGAGCTTAAACAGAAGAGAGTGACAATGTACAGAGAAAGTGTAAGATAAGAGAAAGGCAGAGAACTGGACATCAAGTAGAAATTAACAGAATATATGATTAGTACCCAAACCAGAACTGGGCAAAGCATGGCAAGGAGAGAAAAGCAATGCTCCAGATTTTCCCAGATGTTCTGCTTACAACAGAAATTTGTCTTATTCCCAAAATCAGACAATGATTATTAAATGCGTATTTTTAAGCAGGAATGGTAAAAAGCTATGTACGTCTTTTGGGGTTCCAAATCTCCAATGCCTTTACATATTTATAGTTCTGTACAAATATTAAATGATACTATGTTTCTCAATTTGGGTTACATAAGTTAGGAAAAAATGTCTCAACTACTAAAATGAAATATCCTCTACTTACCTTCAGTATCCTCTGCAAGGATGCATATTTTAAATAGAAACAAGTTTGACGCATTAAAATTATTTGTATTGTAGCTTCATGGATTGCATCAAATAATAAAAATGGGTAATCATTCTGGAAAGTATTATTATATAAATTCCAATAATACTCTTCTAACTAAAAATATTTTCTTAATGAAGAAACTAAAGCCTCGATCTTCATCAATAGATTTTACTAAGAATTCACAAGGAATAGAGAACCAAATATACAGAAACTTTTTTATCACTTGTCAGAATATTTAATTTTTAAAAATCTAAATTATTCGCAATTTAGAAAAATCAAGCAAGATCAATAGAGCAGAGGTGGGTGGGGAGAGAAGAGAGAAAAACAAAAAAACTGATAGATACACTAATATCATGATCACCATATTGTATGAACAACTATGCTATTAGAGATTCTTATATAAATAAAAATAAACAGAATAGCCTTTTTCTATTTGTATGATCTGGATAGTAGTCACAAACCTTTATGTTATACCATAGATAAGAGAAAATATATTATAGCTGACACTATGAACTAAAAATGATTTTCCTTTTAAAGTTTTATATGCATTTTCATTTCAGATGATATGATCAGACTCTCCCATTCAGATCAACATCTTGACTCATTAGAAATATCTTTGTTGGACCACACACCTTGATTTATTCCCTCCTGGTAACCTTTTTATTCCTATATATCATCTACTACATTCCTGAGCAGATGTCTCTCTCTAAGGAATCGTTTATAATAGTATTACATTTCTGAGCATATAGCAGACAGATTAATCTAACAGCAGTTCCTCAAAGGAATGGAGGACAAAAGAAGGTGAGCACAAACATGGCTAGTGTCTTCTAAAGAACCCCATGGTGCTTAGGGTCATGAAAGAAAGGGTTTCCTAAGATAAGCAGCAAAAGCATTTCTGAGATAACGGGCAGGTAAGTGGTCATTTTACAGACTTGGCCCAGGAGCTGAAAATGTTAAGTTTTACCAAAGTTCAGTTTTTCAGAGAACTCAGGGTTCTTTCCAGGAAAGAGAATGGCAGCTGAACATAATATAATGCTAAAGTAAACTCTGGTTTAATTATTCTTTCTTTCTACAGTGGTAACCTGTTGCTGACTTCAAAGATTAGGAGAAGCCCCTCTGTGCCCCACCAGGAAATTCCAGGGTTTAAGCCAGGTTTTGCTTTCTGTAGCAATTTGTCATGCTATAGATAAGTCATATTCTCAGTTCATTTAAGAATCACAATTCCACCTTTTGGCTAAGGTCATAAAGAAAATGCCTTAAGCAAAAGAAAGAAGAAAAAATAACAGAAACTAATGAGATCAAAAACACACGATATCACAAATGTGGTTTCAAGAGTCTATTGTGTCTCTATCCATTTTCTCATAATCGGGGATGGCAAAGATGAATTCACTTAGAATTTACCTTAGCTGTGATCACTCTCCCATACTTGACTCCCCTGAAATGAAGCTGATAACTCACACTTATACAAAGTTTTGTTTTGCAAAGTCTTTATGTATACTCTCTCTTCTGATCCTCCCAACAGTCCTATGAGATGGACAGTTCATTTAATACTGTAACCTCTTAACTGATGAAGAATCACTGAGGGAGATTCAGGGGTGAAATTACTTGCTTGAGGTCACACAGCTAGGAAGTGTCAAATTAGTATTTGGAATTTAGTTCTCTTCTGACTCCAGGTTCAGTGTTTTTATTTCATTTTATTTTCACTACACCATGCTGTCTCTGAAGGGAGATCTCAGTCATAATAAAAGCATTTGAAGAAATACACTGTGTGCCAGAAGAGGAAGAAAAAAGAAACAGAAGGGGAAAAATAATGTATAGTTTTGTTCAAGAAAAAGTAACCAGGGTATAGTACCTGAAATAGATAGCTACAATGAAGAAAACATATAGGGTTTTTTGTCTTATTCTTTTTTTTCCTCCCTCATTGATCTCTTGTAGTCTCCAGAAAGGGAATTGGAAAAGAGGAATATAAGGAAGAGGAAAAAAGAATCAGTGGTAATGTGCTCACCAGCTTTGGAGTCTGAGGCCAGGTAAGATGGGAGTAGAAAGGAATGTCCTTCAGGGTATCTGATGAAAAGAGTGGGAAGCTTTGTTCCCTGCTCAAAGATGGGTTAACAGCAAGTAAAACTTCTGAATCTATCTACGTGTTTGCCATTTCTTAACATATATTTCATTGCAAAGCTTGTTATACCAAATATTTTCCCCCCTAAACCAGGTCAACATAAGTAATGTCATCAATACCCTACCTGTTGCAGGCTCCTTGGGCCCATGTTCTTCTTCAGGAGGCTTGCCTGGAGGCCAGACGGTTCTCCTTGGAAACTGCTCTTCTGTGTAATCCAGAGAATGTGTGGGTTGACTGACTGCAGCCCAGGTATAAAGTTGATCTTGCTGTATTAAATGTAAATATGCATGTATTAATTCAAAGTTGATCAATCAAATAAAGAATCAAACAATATTTTGTGGCTGCCATAGAAATCATCCAGTAGAAATTTCCATGTAGAATATAGAATAATAGATCTAGAGTTTGAAAAGTTCAACAAGTCCAATCCTTGCATTTTACAGAGAAGGAAAGTGAAATCAGAGACCTTTAGTGACTTGACCAAGGTCACATAGTACATAAGCATCAGAAACAGGATTTGAATATGTCCTACACTCCAGAGCCAGTGTTCTTATAACTGTACCATGTTGCCTTCCTAAAAGATAGCCTTACGTAATTAAGATTCAAAAGGCAAACTAAGATAGCTTTCTTCATTTTTACTTCATTTCTTCCCTCTTTTCTCTTTCTTCTCTTTCTCTTTTTCTTGCTTTCTTCCTTTTTGTCTCCTTAACTCTCTTACCTCTTTTCCTGGAATCAGTGTATAAAAATTCCCTTTGTGAAGTTGTTTTTAGTCATGTCCAACTCTTTGTGACCTCATTTGGAGTTTTCTTGGCAAAGATACAGGAGTGATTCACCATTTCCTTTTCTAGTTCATTTTAAGATGAAAAAAACTGAGGCAAGCAGGGTTAAGTGACTTGCCCAAGGTCAGACAGATAGTAATTGTCTGAGGCCAGATTTTAACTCAGGAAAATGAGTCTTCCTAACTTCAGGCCCAACACTCTATCCATTGCACCATCCAGCTGCCCTATTCTGTGCAATAAAGATTTCTAAACCTATAGGGAATTATGGGACAAGCAGTCTCTTCTTTTACCCTCTATTTTACCTTGGTACACCCAGAGGATAGCTATAAAAATGTTAATATTATGTCCCTTTAAAAATTGTTTACACATTTAAGTGAAAGCCAAAGGATACACCGTACTTAGGAACTTTTCAGTCAATAGTGGTTTTCCAGACTGCAACAATCAAGAGTCTAAGAAAGAGGCTTAACTTGTGATGAAGTTGAGAATTGCCTATGAGAAAACAGCCATGGGACACTAAAGGAAAGAGTTAAGACTAAAAGATCTGGAAAGAAATATTCCAATAAAAAAGACTTCCATGCTTCAGACCAATAGGACCTAGCCAGAATGTAAAGAGGATAACTTATAATTACACACAGTGGCCAGCAGGCATTTTGGATATTCCAAAATAAAAGCAATTTAAGGCTACTTAGGATGCCTGCTTATAATGTTTCCAAAATAATAATATATTTAACCATTCAAACACCCTGTGGCAAGTCACACAAATGCTCTGTGTTCAGTTTGTAACATTAATTGTTTGTAAGTTTCCACTTCCTTATTATTTTTTGATAAATATTAGATGTGTATGTGGTAAAAGAGGAGGAGTTTTATAAAGAACTTGCTCTCATCACTATAATTGGGGAATGAAAAGCTCAATGGTTTTATCTAAGGATTGGTGATGAATCATAGAATAATACAATTGGGGCAGGAAGAGATTTCAGAGATCTTTGAGTCTAAGCCCCTCATTTTATACATGAAGAAACTGAGAGCCAGATAGTTAGATATCTCCATATCTCAGCAATTCTGAAAGTTTCAATAGGTTCTAAGAGTCTTTATGTAATCTAAGTTTAATTTTTTTTAGAAAACCAGTCATAAAATGTTTTTGCAATATTCTTTATCCTTTCTGCTCATAGATGGGATCTGAATGCAGGGCCTCTAACCCCAGAGGCCACTGCTTTGGATTAAAGGGAAATGGCTGGATGAGTTTCCCTTGCCTTGCGCTGATGCCAGGAAACCCTACCTCAACTAAAACTACTCCTTAACTTGACTAGTGGCAGAAAACACCATTATGATAAAGAAAAAAAAAAGGTTTAGGCACTGTAAATATTTACTACTACAAAGGGTATACAAAGACTGTTCCAAACTGAAGGCCAACCATATAAGATGTTTTGAATTTGGTATTATGGGAACCTGAAAAGTATATGTTTCCATTCAATCTATCACTATCAGAAAAAAAAAAGAAAAACAACTGTATCAATACAGAGGTATCCTAATCAATGAACTAACACATTTGTTAACCACTTATCATGTACCAGATTATTGTACACTTTGAACACAAATAGAAAGGTCTACTGATCTTGCATTCCATGGACTGACTAAAGACACAATGACGCCAGCCGACAGCATTTTAGGTGTCTGAATAATACTCTTTTAAATGCATTATTCACCACAAATGAGGACAAATATGAAACATGACCCTAATTGCTGATTATTGCAGTCAAATCAGGTTAAGATTAAAAATGATGGTGGAAGGTCTGGTGGCCATGTGTTATCTTTCAACAATCCCTTTCAATAATGGCATATAGGGATAGGGACTAAAGGGTGGGGAAACTGCAGCCTTGAGGCCACTTGTGGCCCTCTAGGTCCTCAAGTGTGGTCCTTTGACTGACTCCAAATTTCACAGAAGTGAAATGAACAAATCAGGATTTGTTCTGTGAAGTTTGGATTCAGTCAAAGGGCTGCACTTGAGGACCTAGAGGGCCACGTGTGGCTGCCAGGCTGAAGATTCCCCACCCCTGGCTCTAGAGAACTGCTAGGTGAGGAATTTCCCTCTACCAATACAAGTGAGCACTTTCTGTGGTACTTCTAGTCTTGGAGAGTTACCTATCACACTTAAAGGTTAAGTGACTTGCACAGGGTCAAAGAGTGTCACAGGTAGGACTTAAACTCAGGTATTCATGGCAGCATGGTAGCATAGTAGATAGAGCCCCAGACCTGGAGTCAGGAAGATCTGAGATCCAATCCAGCCTTCAGACATTTACTAGCTTGTGTGACCCTGGGCAAGTCACTTAACCTCTATCTGTCATAGTTTTCCCATCTATAAAATGGGGACAATATATTTTTATGCAGTAATAGAGCAATATGGTATTTGATTATATTCACCCTTAAAACATCATGGTAGCACTTCCCTTATCATCTGCTCATATTATTGTTTCCATTATTGAAAAAAAAGAAGTTCAAATAATTAAACTCCACTACCTCCCAGGGTTGTTGTGAAGATAAAATAATATTTGCAAAGCACTTTGCAAACCTTAAAATGATATATAAATGTGAGCTTTATTTTCATCATCATTACTATGCCATCTTCTTTTAGCTATTATTATTCATGGATTCAAGGTTAGTTTTCTATCCACTAGACAATCCTATCTCTCCATTGAAGTATATTTTCTTTTTTTTAAATTTTATTTTAGATTCAAACACCAGAACACAAATACAGAATAGAGAAAAGAAAAAAAAAGTATCATAAACTTAAATATTGGAACTTAAATACAAAGAAAAGAAAAAAAGTATGGCATTTGTATAGCAGAACATGAGAAGATTCAAACTATGTAACGATAAGTTTTCATTTCCAGAAAGCCTGTATGATAAATACTATATGTTGTGTTGAAGGCTGTCCATCTTTTCTTTGCTTCCTTACAAGTTTTCTTTTTGCTCTCTGCTGTGCACTTTTTTACTTTGTTCTTTATTTCCCCCCTTTCCCCTCCACCCAGAAGGCTAAAATCAAGTACGGATATATTTCCATATAGCTACAGATATGTACATACAAATATAGACATATACTTTCCCTAACAAATTCTACTCCTGATCTTTGTTTTTATGTTTGTGCACATCTCTTGTTTCCTATACCTCCTGACTCCTCTACTGTACTTCTACCTGCAACCTTGCCCTCCTATTACTTAGCCTATCTTCCTCCAAGGATCCCTCCAGTATCCTCCCATTCCCATTGATCTAAACACAATTCTATAGCCCCCTTTAACCTATTCCCTTTATTTTTATACTCTTCTAGATATATGTGTATTGTTCCCTCTTAAATCCATTCCTGATGAAAGTAGGTTACCAAAACTATCAGCCCTCCTCCCCCATGTAATTCCTCCGTATCAATTCTTCCTCTTGCACTTCATTTGAATAAATTACTCTTTTCTAGCTGTTCCTAAATGGCTTTACTTGTTAAAATCATATCATACTCAGGTCTACCCCAGTCTTTCTTATGATCTACCCAATTACAATGACAATCTTAGACATATGTTTTATATTTTACATATATAAAAAGTAAATGGTCTGTCCTTACTGAATACCTTGAAATCACTTTTTGGTATGCACCTTGTATTACTATTGGCTCATGTATGTTAAATCTTATACTAAGTTCAGGTTTTTTTTTTAAATTTTTTCGACAAGGTCTTGAAAGTCTGACAGTTTATCAAATATCCATTTTGTTTTTTCACTTGAGATCACACTTAACTTTGCTGGGTATGATATTTTCGGCCATTGTCTCAGTTCTTTTGCTCTTTGATATATAATGTTCCAAGACCTGTTGTCCTTTAGTGTTTCCACTGCTAGGTCTTATGTGATTCTAATTATGGCACCATCATATTTAAATTGATTTTTTTCTTGTTGTTTTCATATTTTATCTTTGAGCTGGGGGTTTTAGAATTTGACTATAATATTCCTATCAGTTTTCCTCATAGGATCTCTTTTAAGTGATGATCAATGGATATTTTTCTATTTCTACCTTCCCTCCTTGTTCTAATGCTTCAGGACAATATTCTTTAATTATTTCTTGTATTATTGTATCAAGATTCTTTTTTTTTTGTCATAGCCTTTGGTTAGTCTGATTATTTTTGTTTTCTCTTCTTGATCTATTCTCCAGATCAGTTGTTTTTCTTATAAGATGTTTCACTTTCTCTTCTATTTTTTCATTCTTCATATTTTGTTTAGTTATTTCTTGATCTCTTACAATTTCTCTGGCTTTGCCCTGCTCAATTCTAATTTTCAAAGTGTCATTTTCTTCTTTAAGAGTTTGGATCTCCTTTTCTAATTGGTTGACTTTATTTTCATAATCTTCTTGTTTTTCTTGGATTATTCTTTTTTTTTTTCCTCCATCTCTCTCATTTGATTTTTAAAGTATTTTTAAAGGTCTCTATGAATTCTTTTTGGGCAGGTGACCATTTGATATT